GTTTATTTATGGCGAGATTTTAGCCAGATTTTAATAGTTGTTTTAGCTAACGGACCTTAGCTAATGGAGAAAACCTCAAAGCAGTTTAAAACATTTTTTTAGAGGAGTAACCCAGCCTAACGGCAAAGACAACATCATAGATCATTCAAATTCTACTTATTTTTTAATAAATAACTATTTTAATAAGTCATGAAAGCAAAAAAAAAAAAAAAACAGGACTCTTCAAGACAACTCTTATAGTAATTCTCACTGTCGGCCATATTTGATTTAATTTCTGTTCAGTATTATCCGCCTGAAACTCTTTAAGCTCAGACCTAGAAAATCTCCAGGTGGAATAAGTCTGAGATGGGATCATCTCAGGCGGATTCACAACACGGTTATGGACAGAAAGTCACAGTTATTATAACTCCCTGTCTTGATTCGTGGTTGGCTGCCTATGTAGGCCATGGACGAGGCATTTCCATGTCCCACATGACCAACGCGGCCTCCTGTGTGCTCAGGAAGAAGCCCCTGACCGTGGTCATCAATTCAGTGGGGTAAAAAATGGAGCAGTAGACCAGGAGGATACACCAGCCTTGGGTGGATCTCCTCGTTCATCTCTGGGGCTTTCAGCGATGTGGGGCAGGCAGTAATGGGGAGGTGAAGGGAATCCAGACTAGTTCAGCCTCTTGGTTGGTTTTATCCAGACTGGGCTCCTTTAAAGTAGGCCAACTCCTGCCCGTGAGCAGCTGTACCAAAATGAACTTTTTCTTGGTGGCTGAATGAGGCAGCGTTTTAGAGGAGCCTGCAGGGAGCTGAAGCTGTCAAGACACTGTGAAATACTGGAAATGCAGCAAAAAAGAAAAATTCCCCCAGTGTCACTCACAGACGGTGCCTATTTTCAGAGCGGAAAGCTTCAGTGGAGGGAGCCTGAATCGGCCAGTTGTGTTTGTACTGTTAAAGTACGTTGGTGTGCAAAAGGTTTGGAGCACCTTGGGTTATTACTGTATAGAGAAGAGACAGAGAAGGAAAAAATATGTAGATATTGGAATTGTATAGTTCAAAAAATCGTGATATGAAAATGGACTGTTTCTAACGAACAAAGAAAATGAGGCTAAGCAGAAGCAGCTGACCAAAAATTTTGTCCGGAGTAGATATTTGGATCATCTCAAAGTGGTTAAAAATAGATGTTTTTTTTGCCAGGTTTTAGCAGAAGATACTAGAATGTACTCTTGCTTGAATAAAAATGGTCCAAATACAAAAAACTTTTCCAAAAAACTGATTCTATGGAGGTTCAACAGAGAGAAAAAGCTAAATTACTAACTGTTTTCAGCATTAGCGAGGCTTTGTAATGGTTTAGGGCTGCATTTCAGGCAGTGATTTTTGGGATTGTTGATCAAAATTGACTATAGTTCTTGAGGTTTTAAGTGAGGTTTCCTTGAGTTAAACTCTGGTTACATGGATTTTGAGTTCATTGTTGTGACATACTGAGTAAACTCCAGTTAGATGGATTTTGAGTTCATTGTTGTGACATCCTTTTTAGGGTGGGCTACGACTGGCTAGTCTCTGACAATAGATGGATGATGCTGACAGTGGTGGTGGTGGAGTCGAGTCAGCAGGTGGTTGATGGAAACATCAGAACACTGCTGGTGGTGGTGAGATGTTGAAAAAAAAACAAAACAAAAAACAAAAAATCGTCTGGGAGACGCGGTGACAGAGCAGGAGTGATTTTTATTCCATGCTCTGACAGTCTGTGGGGAATGTCTGTGGATAATGTGTCAGAAATGAAGGCTGCAGGAATTTTGACCGTGTGGGAAGCAGGAAGTGATGGAGGAAACGAGGATAAGCCTGGTCTTCAAGAACACCACTGTTACATTTTCCACGTGTGCGCAGAGCAACGTTAGAATGTAGTGTTTTTGCAGCAGTTGGACATCATTCGTTTGAATATATTAGTACGTTTAAACAGAGAGTTTGAAGCAACATTTGTAAAAAGTAGAGGAAATCATTTTAATGAAAAACATTTGTATGTGATACTGAAAGTCTGTTATGTTTGGTAATTAGGAAATGTTTTGCTCTGTCTGTGAAAAGGTCCTGTCACTATTTTATATTAAATTACAAATTTGTTAAAAAACAAAAACCAAAGAAAAAAAAACAACTAATTTTTTTTGTGTGTCTGCTGATACTGATCCAGAGTCTTGGCACGTTGTCAAGTTGTCTGAAATTGCTAGCAATACGCCCGGGAGCCATAATGAAGGGCAAAAAGTTCCCAAAAAAAAACAAAAAAAAAAAAACAACACAAACAAAAGAAATCCAAACTGCGGCATACAACTGGTGAACGTAAACAAAGCTATCATCTGCATATAGTGCCACGTGACGACATATTTGTCCACTCTTTTCGCCAACTATTTCCCGTGCGAAATGTGTTTAATGTCATTGTCAGAACGATGGAACAAGACTTTCTTTATATGTTTATGGTAGATGGCGATGTAACCACGAAAAGACGTAGGTTCAGGATGTTGTGTACCAAGGACCCCTAGTGTTGGGATGTTGTAATGGTGCACCTAGAGCATGTTCAGGTATTGGAAGAATATGAAGTATCAGGTTAAAAAAATAATATCAGATTCTGGGCACCATTAAAACACAAAATGCAAAAAATTGTTCAATTTGAATGTGTCATATTTTAGTTGAACCGCAGGCATCATTTTGTGAGCGTAGAAAAGGCTTTCATCTCAAAGTGATGGCGTCAGATTCTCTGCAGGGCAGCTCCACTTTCCCTCAGTAAATACGCCCCCTGCTGTTCCTCCTCTATTGCGCCGACAGCAGGTTCTGACCGACCACACTTATTTGACTGTCAAATTCGTAAAGTCCAACAGTTTCTGTCATGAACGTGCCGAAGCTGCTAAGTTGTCAGGGAATCCCTGGTGCATGTAGAAGCCCTGTCAATACTCCGTCCTGAGGGATGTGGATCATGGATTCACACATGCTCATGTGAGAGAACGGGGAGTCATAACTGCAGTCACAAATGGGGGTTAGGAAGATAAAGGTGTGAGAAGAAGAGGTAGAGGAGGAGGAAGAAGGTGGAGGTGGCCGAACCTCCAGCGACGGCGCCCGGCAGCTCGAGATAATCAGAGCAGGGAAATGAGCCGAATCCCACGCAGTCTTCGCCGACCGGGCCTGGAGCGGCCGATGACAAGGCTGATGGATGGAGGCTCACAGCGAACTGGCTCCTCTGGGAGTGAAGGAGGTGAAGGGTGGTGGAGAGGAGGAGGAGAAGATGGTGATGATGAGGCTAAGAGAGGAGAGCTGGAAGAGGTCAGAGATGAAATAACTAAGAACGGAGGCTGGAGAAGGTGAGAGGTAAAGGTTAGAACCAAGTTCTTCGAACAAGACCGTGAGGCAGGAAAATAGTGTCCG